AAACCCGCAATATGCTGATGATACCCGGTTGTATACAGCTATTAGAAATATTATTGAACACTCCATAATCAATTAAGATGTAAAGAATTGCGCTTCGATTTCAAAGTTTATAGGCGTCGCTGCTTTTTGATCAAAAGCTTTTGTTCATTTGTACAAAGTTGGCCTAGAAAACCGGAGACACAAATCCAGGTTATTATACCAGGTCGACCACAGAATAAATCCCACCGTACATACAGCAATAAAAGCCGCATCATTTGTAATATATGCAACAGCATCCATACTATCATGGCGGTTGAAATGCATGACTCATTTGCACATAATCTTTGTTGTATAGCTGCGTAAGTTGCACGAGTATCCTTTTGCTTGAAATACCATTATAATCAAAATCACCACCACGACTAACAAGAATTAAACAATTAAATTCCACTACCTCTGACCTCTGTCAAGCTGCAAGATATGATCTTATAGTTTCTAATGTGTTAGTCTTGGCTTTTTGTGGCGAATGAAGATTTCCTTAGAATAAGTAAGGGTATTTAACGTGAACAAGGTGGTTTTTATATTATATTTGGAAAGTACTGTTACTGTAAGGTAAGATCTTTGACCCGAAATAAATTCCGGAAGACGAAATTAAAATCTTAGCCGTGAGATGAAGTCTAAGTGGTAAAATACTTGTCTGGGTCATCGCACTTTTTGACATAGAATTTAAAAAGAAAAAGAAGAAAAGACTAGTCTGTTCTGATCTTTGTAGTTGAAAACAGTTAACAGCCGTACGGCGTACTTCAGCATTCTGTGCCGGACGGTTTGCACCTTGCATTTCTGTGGTTCCTTTAGACTTTTTAACTAGCGTTAATTCTGGGATTCGCCTAAGTAATTAATGCCATTAGTAATATCACAGAATAAATTGTAACGGTATTATAGGAACCACATTATTCATTAAAACCTTAGCTCATCCAGCTTGTCCTGAACCTTATAGTCTCATGTACATATCCGGTATGAGTGATTAATTGGACTTATCTTTATTATATATAATTGAACACGTTTTGATAGCACCACCACCACCAATAATAATAATAATAATAATAATAATAATAATAATAATAATAATAATAATAATAATAATAATAATAATAATAATAATAATAATAATAATAATAATAAAATAATAATAATAATAATAATAATAATAATAATAATAATAATAATAATAATAATAATAATAATAATAATGGCGATGGTGGTGGTGACGACGATAATGACGATGATTCTCGTAAAAGTCATTTTACTCTTGAAGAGAATATTGCTGCAGCTTTGCAATATTATTTCTGAAGCACAATAAAATAAAAATTTATCGTAAAGATTAAATTTATTATGCACACAAAGAGGCGAACTGTATTTAAATGTAACGTAATGTAGACTTAATGAAGAAAACGAGACTCCATTTTTTGGCCATTAAATCCACCTAGTCTCTATTTACCAAAGTCTCTTAAAAGAGCGTTCGTGCTTGGAAATGTATTTAACAAATGTGCGCCATCCTTGTTTTTATGTCTCGTCGTAATTGAGAGACAGGGTTGTTTCACAAGCATAGTAAACATGGAGGCGATTCCAGCATTGAAGAGATAATCTATCTTTGTTTGACAAGCACTCTAGAGATGGTCTCGGAAATACGGCCCGTATTTAGAACGGCTGTGCTATTGTGGTCATCGCGTTGGGAACTACGTTCCCTTTTCAAGGTAGCCGTGTCACCATTAGGATGTGAAGTGTTATGGCACGTTGCACGGACAGCGTCAATAAATGAGGTAATTACAAATCCGTTAGATGATATTTAAGGTTGGATTTTGAAGAATATTTCAAGTGTTATCCACCCACTGGCTTTTTCCAAAAAGAATTTCAGTTATTGTGTGGTCGATACTTAATACTTGGCTATTCCATCTATCTTTGATGACAATCACCTATCACATTAAAAAATCCAATTAAAAATTAAAGTATATACAGTACGCAGAATTAAGAAATATGATGAGAATGAGGCGTCAATATCTTTAAAACAATATGATGGGTTGATTATAATTATATATTTTGGAATGCGAATAACGTATGTATGTATGTATGTATGTATGTATGTATGTATGTATGTATGTATGTATGTATGTATGTATGTATGTATGTATGTATGTATGTATGTATGTATGTATGTATGTATGTATGTATGTATGTATGTATGTATGTATGTATGTATGTATGTATGTATGTATGTATGTATGGATGGATGGATGGATGGATGGATGGATGGATGGATGGATGGATGGATGGATGGATGGATGGATGGATGGATGGATGGATGGATGGATGGATGGATGGATGGATAGATGGATGGCTGGATGTATTTTGAAAAAATTACACCCATTATTGAAATAGTCGGTTCTTAACTGCTACGTGATCTGTGTGGCTTTGATTATAGGAAAAGCATACAACATTACTAGATAGAAGCCTGTATCGAAGAAGACGTCAACAGTTTTCATATTTTAAAATAAGATACAATTTAAATAACTTTATATAGAACGTGGGTTGAAGCAATAATTGATATTTCACAGACTTCGTACAGAGAAACTTATTTCTGCAGCTCATGCAAGAAAACCTGAAGCGAAGAACCGTTCAAGTAAGGAATTAAGTCCCGGCATTTTGAGATCTAGAAATTAGAAAGTTAGAGGCTAACATATTTAGCATTAAATCTATTGCCATAATAGGTCCACATATATATGGATACACAAAATTTACATACGTACATACATCAGGAATCTATATAAGTTCAATTCATTTATATATTTAGAGCCTAATATGGCTAACTTGTGTCTCCCATTATAGAAAGTTATCGATACATACATCTAAAGGTTATTTAGAACACAAAGACGAATTGTTATATAAGTAGCTATTTATTATTGATTGATATGATGTGTATTCTACAACTTTATATCAAGCTGAATATCGACTAGAAGATGATAATTCACTGTGGATACATGGCTCCCTGAATGGTCGATAACTGTCATCTGCGAAGATGTCCGAATTAGGGTATTCAAGATATAGTGGTAGATGGTTCATAAAGATTACAAAAAGAATAGGTCCTAAAATGGAACCTTGCTGAAGAGTGGTTTCCTATAATAACAATGACTCATGTTTGGTAGTCTTGAGTAAAGAGTGGGTAATAGCTGATAATTTACAGGATGATAATTTCTTTAGAAGAATATCATGATCAACAATATATAATGTTTGTGTGAAATCTAGAAAGACGATCCCACGGATTGCACCTGTGTAATAGCAGATAGCCACTCGTCCCTTAGTTTACTCTGAAAAGTTTGACAGGTGTGATTTTGTCTTAATCCCTACTGAAGCCGACGTAAAAGATAAAATTTATTTGGATAGCAAAATAGGTGGGCAGAAATGTTTTTCTTTTTTTTTAAATGACAGGTAAGGCAGAAATAGGTCCGTATATTGATGACCAACTTTCCGAAGAGGAAATTATTTGACTCACTTCAGGAAATCAGGGAATTCACCAGGTTGTAGACAGTTTTTGAAGAGATCGGCGAGAAAGAAAGTTAGGAGATGACAAAAAGCTGTAATATTTAGGCATTATTCCCATTTGTCCATTTGGTGTTGTTTGTTTTCAAATAATGTTGTACACCTCATAAACAGAAATCATGCAAATTCTGTATCAGGATATACTAATTCTGCTACAAAATCGGAGAAAGAGAAAAAGTAATGCGCTAGGGAAATAAGATTTTCATTCAAGTTGATGATATTTGGTACAAACATTATTCATCCTAATTGAAATATTTCGTTTATTATGTACAGTTTCATTATTTACAGTCATTTCATGAGGGTTGAAGAGATAAGCTGTCTCGTCAATGTCTTTGAAGTGCTTTCATTTCAGTTTTATATTCTTTTAACAAGAAATTAAACATAGCAATATTCTTCCTACGTTCCTTGATATCAGACGCTGTATTGTTTCGCTAAGTTTTATAATTTTGCAAGTCTTTTTTGTAACAGAAGTCACGTAATTTAATAGCTATGTAATTGGTGTACTATTTCGGTTGTGTGTGTCGCATATTAGAGTCCAAACATGAGAGACAACTGCTGTATGGTATGCGATTTATGAATGTAGAATTCCAGTAATAAATATCATATAAAAAAAACCCTTTTGGATTTTATTGAAAAATATTTAAATAGTTGTCCGGATCGAGTGCCCAAAATGTATGCGTTCTCCAAAGATGGTTCGTAAAGGAATAACTCGTTATTAAAATTATTGGAATATCTGTGTCTAATATTTAATGATTATTTTTGTATGGTTTGATGATTTTATTCAGCTAAACGCAGACAGGATATTATTAACTTAGAATAATCAGTAAACAGTTTCGAACACGGACTGTGTGTGTAAGCAATGACTAAATCCGCCACTGTGAGTGAGTAGTGTAAATGTGATCAGTCAAAGCTGATACTGATTCGGTTACCTTTATTGTTTAGCAAGTTGATTGCCTTTGTTGTTTAGCAATTTGGGTAAGGATGTGAGAGAGAATCGAGTCGACCCAATTTTTGTATTAAAAAGGATCTATGTTAAATGCGTCAAGTAGCACTGATTTTTTTCCTACAGCTATTTGAAATTCATTATGCTATGGTCATATATACTGAGGAGTTAGTCCCGATACAATTACCGAATGTGTATGAAGGAGGTCATGAAACAAAGAGTTGTAACAAATCTGAACTGGTAAAGGTGTACGCGTGTGTGTGATTAGATTTTTAACGTAGCTTTAACAATTTGTCAGTTATATCTCTACGATGTCTGCAGTGTGGCAGTTATAGTGATGACTAGCACTGGGCATCATGCCGTAGACATGTAGCATGATGTCCCACCCAGTCATATTATCCTGACACCAGGCCGACCAGTCCTAACACTAACCTCTTAACGCGTCAAGCGTGTTAGCTGTTAGTACCATTTTTGTAAGTCTTTGATATGACTCGACCGGGGATCGAACCCACGACCTCCCGCATACGAGGCGGACGCTCTAACCATTAGGCCATTGGAGCGGTATTATTAAGGTGTACGCAGTTTCTAGCATCGTTTCCGCAAAAATTCAAAATGAGTGTGATATGGATTTAGATCCATTGGACCCGGATTTTCACAGAGACTATGAATAGTTGCGCCTCTAAAAGGTCTGATATTGACAGTCTTGTCAAGACCCACACAACTATACACTTCAACAAAGACAATAATCTTTAAGAGCACCTTATGGCCTCCGGTGCAATCGGACGTGGTAAACTATTGCAACTATTGCAGTTTGCTGACATAAGTGTGTAAAATATTGATTGTATTTTATTCAGCATGGTATATGTTTGCTTGCTTTTATTATTTTAGGAAGACACCCTCATTATTGGCTACCTCAGAACCATACTGCCTCGTTTTTCTTAATTCCAGCATCCTCATCATGATGCCAAACCATGCAGAGATTTCAGAGTATCACATTCAGCTTGATTTTGATTCTTCAGTGAATGAATGTATTTTAATTCAAGCATACTTATCCATTTGTTTCATCATTACTTTCATTTACCAAGTTATCACTTTTTAAGTATAGTTTTATTTGATTTGACTCCTGCGATTTCTTTAAGTTTTTCTTTCATCTAACAGTTATGTTGTCTGGTTGTTTGTTGACTGTTGACTGTTTGAAGACCAAAAGTTACTGGTGTCATACTCGGTTGCACATTCGACGTCTGTTGTCTCTTTGCTTTTCGTACATTTCGGGCGATGACTTTGTTTCTTGCCTCTACAAAGTCGATTCACTTCTTTGTTACGGATATGGGACGCAGCTAACTCAGCTTAGCTTATAAGTTGACTCAAACTGAAAACAACAAAGACCACGATCTGACGTAACTTAATGCGCCCGCAGATCAGGCTCTATGTTGTTTGTTCTATTGATTACTCCTAATAAGCTTCACCCACCTAAATTTGCTGCCTCTTTATGCGACAACAGATCTGGATCTGTGCAGTTTGCATTTGGGGGTCGTTTTTTTAGCGAGTACAGAGACCTTTTGTTCTGGAAGAATCTCCAATCATTTATGTCTTTGTTTTGTACTTGTGTTTTTGAAAATGTATCTCTCCTTCATTTTTCAAGTTTACCTCAATTGCCAAGTATATTTCAAACATCATTTCATCTAACTGAAACAAAATAATTCCTTGATTACATACCCATTTAATCTTACATGGTCGATTTGGCGTTCGATACACAGGGACAGTCTGTAATGCTTCCGTATCGCACACCATAACTGCTGATTCACACACCCAGCCTTGAACTATTTTTACAATTTCAAATATTAAATATCAGTCCTTTTATAAAAAAACGAGAATAATTTGTTGCTAAAAATTTTAAATTATTAAACAATATCACGCTTGCAATTTTAAGTTCGGGTGAAAATGGACTTTTTTGCGCTAGAGATAATAGGGTACTCCGTAAGTAGCGAAAAAATAGTTTATGAGATTTTTTCTGTATATGCAGACCAGATACTGGAGTTTGGTGATGTTGCCAAAACAATTTTGGACAGAATGTTTTAAAATGGGTTTTAAGAGAGAGAGAGAGAGAGAGAGAGAGAGAGAGAGAGAGAGAGAGAGAGAGAGAGAGAGAGAGAGAGAGAGAGAGAGAGAGAGAGAGAGAGAGAGAGAGAGAGAGAGAGTACTTCACCACTGAAATCAGGTATTGCAAGTTTGAAACTTCCTGACAAAGTAAGAAAGACTCAGTGAGTCATTTCAAGATGAACGGAGACAATTAAGGGACAGTAAATACGCTACAGAATTTGAACATCAAAAATGAGTTTACTAATTACCACAAAGTGCTGAATTCAGGGTACAACGACCTTCAACACAAGTAAATACGCTACAGTAAATACAGTAAATACGCTACAGAATTTGAACATCAAAAATGAGTTTACTAATTACCACAAAGTGCTGAATTCAGGGTACAACGACCTTCAACACAAGTTTAAAGAAATTGAAGAAAAAAAACCTCAATCGTGCACCCGTTCATCTAAGTACCAGCTACAAGAAGGATGACAGAGAAAAGACATTCCACAATTGAAATCATCTAAAATTCCATACTGACCCAAAGTTCTTTTCAGCTTCAGTGTTTGTTTTTTTTTTAAAATTTGGTTTGCAGAATTTACTTTATAAATATCTGGGTTTTTTTTTTTAAAAAAAAAAGAACAATTTTTAGGTGAATGAACTTTAGATTTGCCTATTTTTACTTGTGGATCTAATTTGGCTATTGAGTCTGAGTTAAACATGACAAATATTTGCAGCATAAAGGTATATGCATCATGGACAGCACAGCTGTTTGATTATATTATGTAAATTTAGAATAATTGCTTCTTTGTTATAATGTTGATATTTTTTTATTACAGGGGCACATACAGGGAAGTGTCTGTTTATTGCATTTAAAAATTTTTGTAACTCTTCAGGTAGAAAATAAAGAAAAGAAGCCAGCACAACATTGTTTAGAAGCTTCTTGTTAAAAAGAATCAGACAGGAACATTAAAGATCTAGTCAAAGTGTTAGAGAGAAATGGAATCTTCGTTTTATTAAAACATTTATGCTTAGCTCATCATATATAAGTTCAATACACCAATAAATTCTTGTATTAAATTAAAACATGAAAATAGTGAGTTTGAAAGTTTTGTAAATTAATAGGCTTTCTGTATAAACTGTAATGTATTTAATTACTGTTAGTTTGTAAAATTAGTCCTGAAAATTTGTTTGGAGGCAGAGTGCGTGTATTCAGTAAGTAAGGCGTCAGAATGATCACCATTTATTGGTCCCATTCTATTTGAGAAGCACGGAACAAATCCACTTATATATGACTGCAGTTTAAATCCATTCATATGCCCCATACATTTTTCAAATTCAGAACCAAGTATTAAATCACCGTATCTGTAATTCAGATAGACTGATGACGCAACTTCACAATATATGTAGGCTTAGCTCCGGTTATAAAAAATGGTGATTTTTCAAAGGTTTGTACAATATCCTTCAGAATATGCCAGATGCATAATAATTTTTTTAAAAATATATCATGCAAATTTTTAAATGTTAAATAATTTGTAAATATAAGGAGACATGTAATAAATACAAAACAATAAAAGGGTTTTATTCCATGTCGGGGTAAAAACTCGTCTTGGCATGACGGCCTCGACATATTCCTACTCCTTAACAATTTGTGTCTTCCGCCCACACTTACCAGAACCTATGTTATTTTGCTTTTTTGTACCAGCTTCATCTTGCAGACAACAAACGTGATTTTGTCTCTTGATCGCCGCAGTAGTATTAGGAATAAATAAATTATGCTTACACAATCTGATTCAAATCAGATCTCCACTGTCCTGGGTTGGATGTAGGACAGTGGAGTTTTCTGTCCTGAGTTGGATGTGGGACAGTGGAGTTCTCTGTCCTGGGTTGGATGTGGGACAGTGCAGTTCTCTATCCTGGGTTGGATGTGGGACAGTGGAATTCTCTGTCCTGACTTGGATGTCGGACAGTGGAGTTCTCTGTCCTGAGTTGGATGTCGGACAGTGGAGTTCTCTGTCCTGGGTTGGATGTGGGACAGTGGAGTTCTCTGTTCTTGGTTAAATGTGGGACAGTGCAGTTCTCTATCCTGGGTTGGATGTCGGACAGTGGAGTTCTCTGTGCTGGGTTGGATGTGGGACAGTGCAGTTCTCTATCCTGGGTTGGATGTGGGACAGTGGAGTTCTCTGTCCTGACTTGGATGTCGGACAGTGGAGTTCTCTGTCCTGAGTTGGATGTCGGACAGTGGAGTTCTCTATCCTGGGTTGGATGTGGGACAGTGGAGTTCTCTGTTCTTGGTTGGATGTGGGACAGTGGAGTTCTCTGTCCTGGGTTGGATGTGGGAAAGTGGAGTTCTCTGTACTGGGTTAAATGTGGGACAGTGGAGTTCTCTGTCCTGGGTTGGATGTGGGACAGTGGAGTTCACTGTTCTTGGTTGGATGTGGGACAGTAGAGTTCTCTGTCCTGGGTTAAATGTGGGACAGTGGAGTTCTCTGTTCTTGGTTGGATGTAGGACAGTGGAGTTTTCTGTCCTGAGTTGGATGTGGGACAGTGGAGTTCTCTATCCTGGGTTGGATGTGGGACAGTGGAGTTCTCTGTCCTGACTTGGATGTCGGACAGTGGAGTTCTCTGTCCTGGGTTGGATGTGGGAAAGTGGAGTTCTCTGTACTGGGTTAAATGTGGGACAGTGGAGTTCTCTGTTCTTGGTTGGATGTAGGACAGTGGAGTTTTCTGTCCTGAGTTGGATGTGGGACAGTGGAGTTCTCTGTCCTGGGTTGGATGTGGGACAGTGCAGTTCTCTATCCTGGGTTGGATGTGGGACAGTGGAGTTCTCTGTCCTGAGTTGGATGTCGGACAGTGGAGTTCTCTGTTCTGGGTTGGATGTGGGACAGTGGAGTTCTCTGTTCTTGGTTAAATGTGGGACAGTGCAGTTCTCTATCCTGGGTTGGATGTCGGACAGTGGAGTTCTCTGTGCTGGGTTGGATGTGGGACAGTGCAGTTCTCTATCCTGGGTTGGATGTGGGACAGTGGAGTTCTCTGTCCTGACTTGGATGTCGGACAGTGGAGTTCTCTGTCCTGAGTTGGATGTCGGACAGTGGAGTTCTCTATCCTGGGTTGGATGTGGGACAGTGGAGTTCTCTGTCCTGACTTGGATGTCGGACAGTGGAGTTCTCTGTCCTGGGTTGGATGTGGGAAAGTGGAGTTCTCTGTACTGGGTTAAATGTGGGACAGTGGAGTTCTCTGTCCTGGGTTGGATGTGGGACAGTGGAGTTCTCTGTTCTTGGTTGGATGTGGGACAGTGGAGTTCTCTATCCTGGGTTGGATGTGGGACAGTGGAGTGCTCTGTCCTGGGTTAGATGTGGGAGAGTGGAGTTTGATCTTAATTATACTGATGCTTACGTGTTCACACACTCGATCACATTGTTCTATGAGCGTGCGTTTATACACAAATAATAAGCTGTACGAAAGTACAAAAATATAA